TGATATTGGAATAAAATCACCTTGAGGAATTTTGAATTTAATCAGTTTCACAGGCGCTATGACATCATTAACCGACTGTATATTGTCATAGAAGTTTTTAAGGACTTCCTCTAAGGAGTCATTGGTAAAGTAGGAATCCCAATTAGAGTATCTAATCAAGTCCTGATACAAGTCCCAGTCAACCTGTGTGTATAGTCTTATAGGTGTCGGAATAACTTTGTTTCTGTGTATAGTTTCCGGAGAAATATTAAACGAACATGCAACTATTTTATGATCACTACCTGGGAATTCATGTCCCACATGAATTGTAGATGGTGCTACGTTGATCGTGAATATAAGATCAAGGATGTTATCGGACCTAGTGGCTACATTTATGTGTTGCGTCCATCCTCCTGTAATGATGGAATTAAGAAGATTATCATACCTCGAGGGTCCACGAAGTGTACGCCATGATATATCAGGCAAATTGAAGTCACCTCCAATTATATTATAACTGAAGGGAAGATTGGATGCAACACTAAATACGTTGCTGAGTACGTTATCGTATTCGCGGTTGGATGATGGCGGTCGGTATACACACCCTATAAGGATAGGTTTACTTCTGAGAACTTTTATTTCGACCCACACCGAATCATTAAGTTGTGACAGAATAGGGTGACTAAAATGCGTTGCACAAATGGGCTGTTTAACGTATATGAGTGTTCCACCCCCACGACCTGTTTCCCTATCCCCTCGAAAAAGATTGTACTTACCAATTGATAAGCTATCATCCGTAATATCACTTGAGCACCAGGCTTCAGTGATCATGATCAGCGACGGATTGCATATAGAGGCTAACGTACATAATGCTAAATGTTTGTTAAGAACTGATCTAGCGTTTATGAGGATGACTGATAGACTTTGACTAAGTGGTTTTAGTGTATGGGCAATATCATAATAAAATGCTCTATGGTTATCAGCTGAATATGTGCAGTCGTTATTGGATTCATTAATTGCAACATTTTGATCACTAGAGACGTTTTCTTTAGTTTGATACTTAGGGATGGGTTGTGAGATGTCACTCGTGAGTGGTTGGTCGTTTAGATATTGCGTGCTATGGGAGATACTAGTATGATAATCTAAGGTATTAGTATTGGTATTAGGTGTGTATAAAGTGTTCGCTATCTGTCGGGGAAGAAGCAGTTTCCCTGTTGTAAGGTGTTTGCTATACCAGCAAGGAATTGGTTTGACATCATATGTGCTATGTGCATGATCCCAGGCGTTTCTGCCAGTTGTCGCTGGAGAAAATTTTGGTCATATGGGTTGGCTAGAGTCATGTAGTCTGCATAGTTACAACCGAAATGGGTGGTCGGCGTGTTGTTGTGTGCATATGACTTAGATCCTTGTGTCTGGTTAGAGAACTTCCTAGGCCATGATGAGCATTGTGTTGAAATTGGCATGTGACTCCTACTGAATGCATGAGAATTATGACAGGGCGCTATACGTGTTTTTGGACTAACGTCTGTATTCTCAAACTGGTGTTTCCTGTACATCATGGTTGAGAGTGCATTCGTGAGGGGCTGAGCAACTTCGTGTTTTCGAAGTGTTTGGTGAGAAATGTGACGATTATTTTTTCTTATCATAGGACTAGTAGTGGAAGTCGGAAATGAGCAAGCTCCTACGGTATGTGAATTACATCTAACTTCAGGAACATGACTAAGTTTAGATGATTGTCCACCAGTAAAATGAGCCAGTGACCCATTCGAAGCTTTCGTAATTATGGGCTTTAGTGTTCTGGGTCTAACGTTCGGTTTAGCTTTTTCCGTAATATTCGGCTTGTGTAATTTGGGCTGCTGGTGATCATTAGGATTTCCCAATAAACTGGATTTCTGTTGAATAGTATCAACAGTTCTTTTGGTGTTCCTAACGGAAATAGGACGCTTATCATATCGCCTTGTATTTACGCCTACCTGGGTGGCCACATGTGATTGCTGCTTCACAGTTGCTGGGCTAAGAGGTTGTGCGGTATATGACTTCCCGAGAGATTCAAAGTGTACAACTGAATTCAGCTTAGACTTTTTCGAGGGTTTGGCATAAGTGCCAGTGTGCAAGGGTTGCACGTCAATACTGTGATCTGTTAACATTTCTATGTCTGAAATTTCCGTATTTAGAGCTAAGTCTTCAACAGTTGCTTGACTACTCTTAGTTTGTGTATGCGATATTGTCTGGTGCTCTTGGTCATAAGGCAATACAACGAGGGAAGTATTAACTTCGGTTGTCTTATTGGGGTTGTCTTCATTCAGTTTACCTGCGCGGCAACGTCTTCGGCAAGAAGTTAAATCAGGTACAATCCTGATTTTGGTGTAGGGTGTTGAGGAGCTAAGAGTTTTGCCAGACTCCAAAAATTTCTTAGCTAGATCAACAGACTTAAATTTGAACAGTACAGGACATGGGTGGTTTGCGGATTTCTTACGAAGACGCAGAACCTGGCAGTCAGATACTGAAATGTTGCTTGCCTGTAGACAGATTGCTTTAAGTTTGACAATAGGTACATTGTCTGGTATATTATATCCTAAAACATTGTATGAGGACATGACCCTCTTTACAGCCTCTGCAGTCAAAAAGTCTAGCAGGTGCTCAGATTTGAGGAGTGAATCTAAGGAAATCTCTTGTGATGGATCACAAAGTTGGAGGAAAGGAGTAATACTTTCAAACTTATCCTGCAGGTCTGTTATGGATTTCTGAAGGATCTTTAGATCACTAGTATTACTCGCTACGTTATCAATTAGTTCTTCCGTTAAGTTTGGTACTAAAACTCTCGGTGTATCAATTGATCTTAGTGCAAATCCATCGTCAGGACTGATGTTTTTAGTGTCCTGCTGACTATTTGATGCTAGTCTCTTAACAGTACTAACTCGTTTAATAACTTTGACCATTATGCAGGTAAAGATCATAAAATTTTCTCAAAAATTGACAAAAGTGTGTGAAATACTGTTATATTATCTAAATAGATAAAAACAACAATAAACAGGTATGAAGTACAAACAAAAATAGACCACTATCAAACGAGTTAACTCTGATAATTATAAACCACAAAACTGAGGACTTCTCTATAGTTCTTTTGTGACAGATTGCTCTTTATTAACACGAATCTCACTGGATCCAAACAGTATTCTGGAGGTGATAAATTTGGATATTTAGCTACCGGAGGGGCAAGCAATATCAGCTATAATTATGTAGTAGTCAAATATAGACCACGATATTCCAGAATGCGAAAAATTATTTCCAACTTATATGGTGAGATTGTAACGTCCTACACGAAGCGCGCGGGTCACTTTTATATCACTATTTGATGTAAATCCACCATCAGGAAAGAGTTAAATGGTACCAGAACTCAAGATCCCTTAATCCCAAGACACAAGCTTCACTTACTGTCAGTCGCTGATTTCCCTGTGAGTTATATAAATCCGAATAGTACCTAAACACCACTAGTCTAAGTACCCATCAATTTCTTCGTCTTGCATCTTATACAGTGAATGTCACTAACAATGAGCCGGCATTAAGTGGAAGTCGCTGTCGCCACTGTATTAGCCCCAGTGCACTCGTAAAGTAACTATTTTTATCCTCTACTGTTGTGCCATCTTCAAATACTTTCTGTTTCCCGTTTGCTTCCCTTTTAGATAGTCTTTACTTGAAGAGTTTTCGAAGTAATTACATTCATGGAGATGTAGTTACCTCAGCTACTGAACAGTGAGCTGTTTCTAGAAATGCGGATGTTAGCAGTAACATAAATGTGCTTTAATACTGACAACAGTATTTATTATGTATGCATTCAAACTTGGATTGAACTAACCTCTAGTAACATAGTTGCAGCCGAAGCATTCTTGATTCAGCACAGGACAACTGACATCACAATATATTCGGTATACTAAATATTGCCTGTGTGAAATGGAATCCATTAGACTGCATTTCGATAAGGATTCCTTGTTCAAGAGGGACTGGCAACCAGCAGCAGATACGAAATGTAGTTTGGTATAAGGTGTGAACATCGTCTTGTGGTTCAAACGAACAGAAAGTAGAGTTTGGGAAATAACCTTGCAATTTCCGAGAGCATTTGTTTTTACACAACAGTTAAAAGTTTACAATTATAGTTGTTTTACTGATTATAGAACAAGTTATTTTAGGGACAACTGCATAATAAAATGGCTCAGAACCGCAGTGGAATAAACTGCAGGCGGATCACGCTTCTTGTAGATAGGCGGCTAATGATTTGTACTTGTCATCAAATTTAATAGCGTTTCCTTCCAAAAAGAATGCGGGACTTCACAGAAACACCATCCGGGTCATTACAGGAGAGCCGATCTTCCATATTGAAGCATTTTTGCATCCCCTGGATATTTATCCAGGGAAAAAAGTGGCTAACTGCACATCTGTTGGCTCATTTCAATCGTTTATCCACTTTTTCTACTCCGATTAACTTTTCATGCTCCATTTACACTTTACTAGATTTTCACCCATTAGAGTTTATTCCGTTAATGGCTCAAAATAACTGACTACTAGAAAGACACAGACACAAACTAGGAGGTAAGTCTTTGAAAGCACAACCGACATTTGCTTGTCATGTTGTCAATCACAACTGCTGCAGAACAGTAGCCAGGATTTCAACTTAGGAACCATGTAAAACGCAAGACTTTGTTAAATTCTGAATCTATTCTGTCTGTAATAGTTTGTTTATTAGATGTATCACAGTGAAACAGTATTATTTACTGGATGATGTTTCGAACAAAATTTATTGTTCATAATAATATCAATTGTAATCACAGGACTTTGAAACTTGAGTTTTATAGTTTTCCTTGTCTTCTCCTATTCTGTCTACTCTTGTAGCAGAGATAGTGATTACCAAGGTGATTACCTAGAAATAGTCTTTACATTCAAACTTATGAAGACAATTTACGATGTTGGGTTTTGTTTGCTTGACTTGAAATTTAACCTCAAGGTCAGTTGGCGCCATTACCTTCACCATGTCTTCTGGTCATCAAGGTAAGTGGGGATCTAAAGGCCTAAGTTCTGCAGACAAAACTTGCAAACTGTATATCGGTGGTTTAGTAGAAAATGTGCTGAAAGATGACTTAGTGCGTGAACTGTCTAAGTGTGGAGAGTTGGTTGATGTCTGGGTAGCCAGAAACCCACCGGGTTTTGCCTTTGCTGAATATGTAAAGTCGTCTGATGCTGAGAAAGCAGTTAGATCTCTTGATGGTGTCAATGTATGCGGCTCCAGAATCCGAGTAGAATTTGCTCACGGTGGTCGTCCGAAATTTGGTAAGCACTTATAACCATCTTTGTGTGTAATGGAATTCGCCATTCATCGATATGAACTAACGTCGCTTCATCTTCATTCTAATTCAGCTGGTGGACCAGGTTTCCGCGGTGGTCGGCCAGGTGGAAGAGGTTCTATGAGACGTCGTAGTCCTCCTCGCCGTAGTGGTAGAGATTCTTATGACGGTCATCGGTATTCCAACTATGATCAGTTCCCTCCATTCCACCCGTCAGATGTTGCCAATGCTGCAGCTGCTGCCGCCGCTGGATTTCCGTATGGTGGATATCAGTCTGTTTTACCGTTTCTGCAATCTGAAGAATTCATAAGAAGCCTACAAAGTCAATCACGCCGTCGGTCACCTCCGAGCAGAGCACCGTTCGCAATGAGTCATAGAGGACGTTCTCCTATATCACGACGAAGGTAATATTCGCTAATCCATACTTCTTTATTTAAGCATACAACGTAGAAATGTCGTTCATTATAATATTTTGACATCGTCGCCAGCAAACTGATGTACAGGTTTAGTAGCTCATCTGTTTTGTGTTGATTAAGTTAGAGTGAGGAGCTCATCATTCAAATATGCCTTTCATCGCTTCGCGGGATGAAATATAGCTGTGTAAATACTTCGGGAATACCAAACGTTTCTCTTCAGTGTTTGACGTCGTTATTTCCAGCATCTGTAGCCTTCACGTCGAACAAATTTAACTTCCAAATTTTGCTTATAATCTAGTCTACTGCCGGACCTAACAGTCCCCACCGCTTTCGAGTGACACCTTCTCTAGTGTGAAACCACGAACTAGTAGTAAGCAACGTCCACGAATAAATGTGGCCTTCCAGGAGTTATGTAGTCCGGTGCGTATACTCACACGCATCGATGTCATCTACAACTTCCGGAGCTGCGTTTCGTTGAAATTTAAACACTTCATTAAATAATAATGACAACCAACCCAACATCTTGCGTTAATCTCTACGATGCTTATTTTTACTTTTTCAGGAGTCGAAGCCCAATAGGCATACCAGGAGGTAGACCACGTGGTCGAAGCCCTCCAGCATCCTATGATGGCAGAAGTGTAAGTCGTCATCTTAATATGCGTGGCCGTGGAGGATATGGAGACTTTTCACGTCCTCGAATACCCCGAGAACCACGAGGAACTTATTCACCTCCTTTCATGGGTGAAATGAATGGCAGACGCGATGAATCGCGAACAAGAACGGACCGGAGTACCCGTCATCGACGTTAAATTATGCTACAGACATTGTTGCGCAACTCTGTATTTCACTGATGTGAAGATAAATGCATTTAGTTTTTGTCTAAACGATTCGTTTTCATCAGTTCTTTCTCATTTCAGCGCTCATCTGGTGTATTTTTGTTCTCATCGTTTGAAATAAAGCTTCACTACTCTCAGTGACTACGTTGGTTTAGTTGGTGCATATATGCCTTCCAGCAAATTTCTTTCAGCTGAAAATAAACATAAGTGATGCGTCGCGATGTAATGTGTTGTTCATAATATATGTGGTGTTTTTCCAGCTTATGTAAAAAGGATAGTCAGGCATTTTTATGTTGGTCAACACTTTTTGTCATGTCAGATTTTCGGATTTGTTTCATTAACTTCTGTTTTTAATCAGCAATACTACTGTCACCATAATTGACCCCATATGTCTCTCAAAAAGGGTTTATAGAATTAAGAAGTATTTTTGTAGTTCCTGGTGGTTTTCAGTTTTTTTGTTTGTTTACATGGAATCTCGATGAATTCTCTTAGTACACACCAACGCTGTATCCAAACTTCCATGTTTCTAATTCCATCTGAATATGTGCAGCCATCCATTTATAGTTACGAAGTTTAAGTTCGTTTTTTGGAAATGATCTTTGCAAAAAGTGCATTGTACCCTTATAATGTGAAAGGGAAAAGCATTCCCTATGGTTCACTTACACGTCAGTTTACCTTTAGACACAGGACGTTCGCTCGAACTGTTTTTCATCAACTCCATAGTTGCCTGTAAGTTCATGTAATAGGGTATAGAGCGGATTTATTTCATGGAGTCTGTAAAAATCCTATTCAAACTCATTGTTTCAATAAACGTGTTTAATCATAACCTAATATGCTTCGTAGGGGAGACTTGACTCAACAAAGGTCTGATCCTATATTAACGACTCCTAAAAGGCTTGGATTCCCTACAAAGATTTTTCAAAGCGGAACTTTTGCTTGTTATGTTAGAATAGTGACACCCAGAGTTTTAACATTTGATGGTAGGTGCTTTCAACCAAGTAAGTAGCCTTTCATAAGCATGTATTCCTCACTTTTGTGAAAAGCAGTAGACAACTATATACAGGAAATAGCCGCTAACATTGATTCAACTTGAGATAGCATTGGTTACCTTGGTTACAAACTAGGTATATCACTGGGTTTTATAACAGGTTATCTTTTTATAGTCCAAATAGTTTCAAAAGGAAACCAGTATGCAGTTTCATCTCAGGTGGTTTGTTTCGTGAAAGTGACTTGTTCTAGTTTGTAGTACTCTGGTTATTTATCTCGACTTGGTAATTACTGCCACTAACTTAAAAGGGTCAAAAGCGCTTTGTATTTTGACTAGTAATACAAATGTGGTTATCTCCTTTTTTGAGTTCAATTACAGGGAGTTAGTTACTTATTTAGATTGTAAGTATTTGTGTAGCTTGCTCAATAATTTTTCCGGAATCCAGATAAGACTAGTAAAGGTGGTTCTGCAAAGTCCGGTGGTATTTGCTCATTTAACACCCCAAACGGGTCGCACAGTGGATATCATCTCGTATGGATGAATATTTTGTCTCGTAGAGTTAGTTTCCGTGGCAAAATCATCGGCTGAAAGAATATAAAGAAGGATTTTTAAATTGATTATCTTCATTAACATACAACAGGACAATCCGATTGTATGTAGATACAACCTGACCAGAATTTCAACTCTCCGAGATGTTAACTACAAATAAAAATACTCAAGTTGCCTCACTACGAGTGGTTCTGAAGGAGAATGGAGAAAAGAAATATGTAACCAACTATGGAATATAAACGACGCTTCTGACGACATATATTAAATGAAAACGACCCCAGATAGTTTCACTGAATATGTAAAGTTGACCGGAGCGGCTGGATTTATTGTCTACATGCAACCGACTGCTTTCAGCCTAAGTAGTCAAATTACAGGAATCTACAACAATGGTGCCAAAGAATGTTTGTTTCCTAATAATTGTGACTTGCTTGAGTAAGATTCTTCGCTTTTTTCCTTACCGTCGTAACGGCCAATAGATTCTCCGGTATTCAACTTCACTTTGTTCATCCGAGTCAAGTGTAGCAAAGTAAGATCCACTTTCCTTATTCTGCGACCATCATCTCAAAGTTTCAGCACAGTTACAAGAGATGAATATCTTGCAGTTGAATCAAGAAACTTGTCCAGTTATCAACGAAGTCATTTTATGCTGCAATACGGGGAATAATAATGCTAATTCTCAAAAGGTCAAATTATCTTCCAAGTATATTGCATCATGGGTTTTCTACGTCAGGTTGTGACTGACTAACTGACTGGTTTCAACATAGAACTTTGCATCGATGTGCAGCAGTCCCAGTCTCCACACTTCACTCAGCACACACCCAGAGAAGAAAGCAAAAGGAAATGCAAAATAAAGACAGTAAACAGAGATATGGGGCAAAAAGAATATCCACAAGGAGTGAATGCATCTGCGCCAGCCATCGAGAATGAGGATTTTTAGCCATATCACCAATTCTCCAGCCACTATTGGTTTTTACCATCCCGAGGACCCCGACCAGACAGTAGTCTACATCTTCCTACGTGGCTTAAGCTAATTGTTGTGGATTTCGTTGACTGATGAAGCCATATTTTGGTTTGACCACCACTGGCTGTTGTCCAACCTGATCCATTCTTTGTTAATTAACATTGTCCATCGAAGAAGCCGATCGATGACTAGGGGTGCGTGGGTAACAGATGTCCTAACCATCTCACTCAGTCGATGTAACTTCACAGTCTCGTCTATTGATTTCCCAAGTGAGGTTATGGATGGTCATTACTATTGAGGAGGACAAATGCTTGATTTGATTTTGACTTGCTTGAATACATAAAATACTAATCCCAGCAAGGTTTTAATTTAACCAATAATTCTAAATAAAAACTGTCCTCAATGAAACGTGAGTTTATTATTAGTGATGTACATGTAAGCAGAATCGTAGTGTTAGCATCTATGTTTGGTTACTGACGATAGTGTAATGTTTCATAATTTATCTAATGTTCTAGATATTTTAAAGTTTGAAAAGTACTCTTAAGTGAATGTGGTGACTTACTGATTTATTAAGCTGAATAGTCTTTTCTTGAGAGTTGGGATATTTCAGACGAGATGAGGTTTTTCTAACTGCACAGTTGGCATATATACACATACTTACAAGCCTGTTTTGAAGTGATGTATTTTTTGATATCATCTGTGATTCCATTTAACTGTGATTGACTTCGAGTTTTCGTTTACTGCAAATCGTTATGCATAAGTAAAGTAATTGTCGTTCTCAGGCCTGGATGATGATCCCCTTGAATTAAAGAAATTCAAAAGTTGATCTTCTCTGCTTATTGAATGTTTTCAGTTTACGTATATGTTATGTATGTATGCTCATTTGTCGGTGTCGATAACCAGTTCAAAGTCTGATCTAGGTCGATATTTAAGCATGTAAGCGGTAAAAGTGTGTCGTTCATATTGTTTGGTATGATATACTGCACAACCTCGACACGTTTTGTTTGTATAATTTTCGATATCACTATTCATATGTAGGATGTAATGAAGTGTAAGGAGTCAACACCAAGTTTTGTAGAACTGCAGCTGTATCGAATAATCATATGTCGAAGTATTCTACACTACCTTCTAAACTGATTCAAAGGGGTGGTTCATTGAGCCAGTGTGTCTTGCCTATAACTACCCTAAAAACTTCACCAGGAGTTGTATCATTCTGTATTATTGATATAAGTATAAAACTTGGGCACTGTGGTAGAGTTTAACTCCATAATGGATAAGATTTTATTTTATTGCTCATAATCATATGATTATGAGCAGTAGTTTGTGCTCGAAACGTCATCAGTTAATTTAACTGTACAACACTGTGTGATTTATTAAAATAAAATCTTATCCATTATGGAGTTGTATCATTCTGTTTTCTTGTGTCCATAGATGTAAATCTTCCTATGTACAGGTACTACTGTGCATTATTGGAAACAGTAGTGATGAGATCTGAAACTGTAAGTAACTACCTCATAGTTGCAACTGAAACAACTGGTCGTCTTAATACCAAACATCTTGCATCAAACAAGCTTCTGCCTTCGAGCTCAGTAGACCTAGTCCACCACAATCAAGAAGAGCATCATCGTTGGTAGTAGGAGAGCTTGCATTGTTTCTCCTCTCTGCACTTCAAAGGCTTCATTGAGCTTTCTACTGTAAATTATTTTGGTCTGTGGTATGTCTAGGCAGTTGTTGAATGAAGTTTTTGTGATTAGTACCTTTTTCTTATCATCTATCTAATTTGGCTTTAAATTACTGAAAGCTATTCAGGTCAAAATTCCTAATGCAGCTTTAGTCATGCTAACTCACAGTCCTACAGAAATAGTTGCTTTCCGTATATCTATAGTGTGTTGTCACGGAATACATGTATATATTTATATTGCTCTGGGGGTGGTCAGTATACCACAACAACGTATGCAATCCATCTTCGTATTATCGGTCATGTAATCGCTTTTCTGTCTGGAAAGTGGAGTACAGATTTACGACTAATTCATTCCTTCAAGTCGTGTTTCAGATAGCTTAAAACAAGTTGGTGCAAGTAATACTCTATCTACCTTCAGTTATATAGTCTATCAATAATTCTACTAATTTCCTTGATTCCATTTCAGTCAGTAAGATAGTATTTTCACTTTATTTTAATATTAATTAGTAAAGATAGCCTGTAATAATACAATATAATTGTTAATTGATTGTAACATACACTTGTAATTTGTTATTTGTCATATCCTCCTTCTTTGTTGTACTCTAATTATTTTTGTATTCCATATAATTGTACTATTTATATGAATATGGAGAGAAGATAATAAACTGTTTGACCCTAATTTAAACTTTTTTTTATACTGCGAACTTAAGTGAGTAATTGTGTGTTTTACAATCGTTATTATTCGACAGCAAACTGTAAAAGTAAAATAATTGGTTGTGGTAAGTGCTTCTCGT